GTCTGGAGAGAGGGAAGTCTGGGTCTCTGCTGAGGCTGCTGCCCCTGAGACCTGACCCTGGATAAGAGGAAGAAAATGGACGGATGGACGGGCGATCGACCAAGGACCCAGCCTCTGAATTTGGATATTCCTGGTGAAATAACGATTCAATAAAAATAAAAGCTTGTTGGTAACGTGCTTGTAACGTGTTAACGTGTTTGTAACATGTTGGTAACATGCTTGTAACGTGTTAATGTGTTTGTAACATGTTGGTAACATGATGTGTTTGTAACGAGTGTTCTGACCCGGCAGGTGTCGGACACGGTGGTGGAGCCGTACAACGCCACGCTGTCGGTCCACCAGCTGGTGGAGAACACGGACGAGACGTACTGCATCGACAACGAGGCTCTCTACGACATCTGCTTCCGAACGCTGAAGCTGACCACGCCCACCTACGGAGACCTGAACCACCTGGTGTCGGCCACCATGAGCGGCGTGACCACCTCGCTGCGCTTCCCCGGGCAGCTGAACGCCGACCTGCGGAAGCTGGCGGTCAACATGGTGCCGTTCCCCCGCCTCCACTTCTTCATGCCGGGCTTCGCCCCCCTGACGGCGAGGGGCAGCCAGCCGTACCGCGCCCTGACCGTGCCCGAGCTCACGCAGCAGATGTTCGACGCCAGGAACATGATGGCGGCGTGCGACCCGCGCCACGGCCGCTACCTGACGGTGGCCACGGTGTTCCGCGGGCCCATGTCCATGAAGGAGGTGGACGAGCAGATGCTGAACGTGCAGAACAAGAACAGCAGCTACTTCGTGGAGTGGATCCCCAACAACGTGAAGGTGGCGGTCTGTGACGTGGCCCCCCGCGGCCTCAAGATGGCCGCCACCTTCATCGGCAACAGCACGGCCATCCAGGAACTGTTCAAGCGCATCTCGGAGCAGTTCTCGGCCATGTTCCGCAGGAAGGCCTTCCTGCACTGGTTCACGGGCGAGGGCATGGACGAGATGGAGTTCTCTGAGGCCGAGAGCAACATGAACGACCTGGTGTCCGAGTACCAGCAGTACCAGGACGCCACCGCCAACGACGAGGACCAGAGCTTCGAGGACGAGGACGAGGAGATCGAGTGACGGAGGTCTGGACGGGACCAGGGAGTTCTGCTTCTGTTTGTCTTTCTGATCAGTTCGTTGTTAAAGAAACTTCTGTTAAAAGTTCAAATAAAAACTGTTCATAAAACCTGAGAAATACTTTAAATTAATTTTCCTGCTAATAACTGTCTCAACGTGTGAAGAAGTGATGTTTTACACTAAACTGATGCTGAAATAAAGAAATATCAAACTCAGACTGTTAGTGTCCTTCGTGTTGTGTGATCGCCCCCTGCAGGACTGGAGGAGCAGCGTCTGCTGCAGCTAAAATTTCAAATAAAACCAAAAATATTGTAGTTTATATCAAAGATCTGGAACAAAAAATGTTTCTAAATAAAACTTGAAGACTGAACTGTTTGTTTAGTTTATTTAACAACAAAGGTTAATCTGTTCTGATAAATTAATCTGTAATCCCACATGTCAGCTTTGAGCTCACACTGATAAGATTTAAAAAATTCATTTCAGAAAATAATCTGAACAAAAATCTAAAAGTCTGAATCAACTTCAGAGCATCTAATAATCTGAGTTTTACATGTTCAGATCTGCCTTCAGTCCTCTAAACCACCTAAAGTCCTGTTGTAGTCCCACACGGCACGTTCTAGGGTCTGAAGCCTGTGATTCTGGGGCCATGTGCACTAATATGTAC